TTTTTTTTTTTGAAAATAGGATAAAATCGGAAGTACTAAACAAAGATGTGGGAATCGGGGGCGTCATATCTTTGCTATGGTTCCAGCGTTGTTTACCACCATACGTTTGTAAATTCTTTGAAATGTGTTTAATGGTGACCGCTGATCATGGACCAGCCGTGTCGGGAGCACATAACACAATTGTTAGCGGTCTATTGACTATTGTAAGTTAGTTTTTTGCTGGAAAGCTTTGAAAATGTGTAAAAGCGTAATGAATTCTCCCCTTCAGGGTGATCGTTTTGGTGGTGCCTTGGATGGGGCAGCACGTCAATTTTCAGAAGCTTACGACACCAGTTTGCATCCAATGGACTTTGTTAATCAAATGCGTAAGAAGGGTCAATTAATTATGGGCATTGGTCATCGCGTGAAATCCATCAACAATCCAGACGTACGCGTCAAAATTATTAAAGAATTCGCTCTCGAAGTGGAAAAGATCACCACCAGTAAAAAGCCAAACTTAATACTGAATGTAGATGGTGTTATAGCGACCTCCTTCGTCGATATGCTTCGAAATTGTGGTTCATTTACTAGGTAAATATTATGTTTAAGTTATTCAATATTTTGATTTAATTTTTTTTTTTTTAAATCTTTGCAGCGAAGAGGCTCAGGAATACATTAACGTTGGCGCGATTAACTCACTCTTTGTATTGGGACGCAGCATAGGTTTTATCGGTCATTACATGGATCAGAAACGTTTGAAACAGGGACTCTATCGTCATCCTTGGGATGATATTTCCTATGTTATGCCGGAGCAATTTAACTAACTTCCATCATTTCATATGATACACTGGGCTTATATTAAATTTTATGTTACTAATTCACTTTATCTCATTTGTGTCACAATTATGAAACGCTTCGTATTTAAAACGACTTTAATGATCATACCTCCGAAAAGTGGTTTTAAATATTAATTTTCAAGTGGACTTATTTATATTAACTGAGTTACAAATGCATTTAAGTTTTGTACATTTCATCTTCATCCTTTAGTTTCTTGCTGTATGATTTTTTCTCTTCTGTTTAGTTTTTCTTCTTTTTTTCCATCGAACGTAATTAAATGTTCGCTATCCCCGCACCTAGCAAACACGGTTGTTTTTTTTTTTTTTTTTTTTTTGTAAGATTTGTGTGAGAATTTAATGGTTAGAAATTGTTAATAAAAAGTAATGAAACACATGCACCCTTACCTGCACCCTTATCCTTCTTAAACAATTTAAATCATTTCTCTTCCTTGAACATTGTTGTTATTAAATATGAAAATATATTAAATAAATTAATTTAGTTGTATGTGCACAAAGTTCCAATGACTTTTACACACAAATTCGCTCACACTTTCAAATATTTACGTATGTTAAATCTAAATAATCTCATGAGTATAATCCAATAATTATATATATTATATGTCTCAGCATATATACATGCAGAGACCGAAATATATAATTGTATAGCAAAAAACGATCTCTTGTGGACAACTGGAAATAAAATTATGAATTAACAAAAACAAAGAATAGAAAGTATATAACGATTTCTACGCCAAATATTTCCTTATCCGTCCCCAAGTGTTATTATATTTTTGGAAAGAATCGCTTTGACTTAAAAATAGCACAAATATCAGGTGAAAATTATTAGATTGGTTCTGCTAAAGATGAGTTGAAAAGAGCCAAAAGGTGTTTTTACTTCACATTTCTCATTACTTTTTGTAAAATTTTGGTTTTTATCTTCAGATTTAATCACTTGTTAAGACTGCAATGCCGCAGTAATAATATTGTTTTGGATTCTGTACAAGTTTTCAGTGACTTGTAGTCCTGGAACTTGACAAAAAACATGTCTTCTTTAAGTCTCGCATTTACCAAAAGTAAATTGTGGCGAGAGTAGCATAACTTTTTCTTTCCTTTCAAGGATCATAAATTTATATATTGAAAAAAGGTATTCATTAAAAAAAACGATAAAGCTATTAGGCCTTAGTTTTATGAATTGAAGCGAAATCATATAATGCTTAGAAAGATAAAGAAGGATTGCTAAAATGCCCGAAGTTAGTTATATTTGCATTTTTTATTTGATGAATTTTTCAAAGTAGCAATCGATAAGTGTAAAGTCGTAAAAATTATTTGTTCCCATCTGTTTTCTATAGCATTCATCATAATGTTTGTAAAAATGAAAAAAACCTATTCTTTTGTATCAGCACTCACTGATTTGTCTTTGTATTAAGCTGTAGGATGTAAGTAATTGCTTATTTTGTGCTATTACAAAACTAGTCGAATGTTCAAAAATATGCGAAAATCGAACGTCAGGTCTCTAAAAATTGAATAAAACTAGTCAGGAGAGGTTAACAAAATGTTCAAAATACTGAGAACATATACGCTATTTTCTCTAAAGGCATTATTGAAAAAAGTAAACAAACATATACGCTCATGCTTATTCTCACGTTAATAGGTAAATCGGAATCGGTCGTAGAGTTTTATCGTGCCTTTAATACAAGACCCCGAATACTACGATAAGTAAACACAATCACGAGCTCTATTATTGCTCTATTGGCGGCAGGCTACGGGCAAATATGCCCAAAAGCATTTCAATAAATAAATGGTATACAATATTTTAATGCGTGCTACAAAGGATGAACTAATTTGAAATCTTTTGGTAAACATGGCAAAAAAAAGAGATTATACTCGTTTTTTTATTATACAAGCAAAATCTTGCTATTTCATTATTATATCAACTTACTGTTTTTTCATACAATTAAATAAAGGGTTTCAAATTTATTACTGTCATCATGATGATGGCCGAACATAATACGTCGTAGCAAGGGAGATCCAAGTAACTTCTTGCCTTTGCCGCCCCCTGCCTTTAAGTTTCTGTTATTATGTTGTGTCGGCAAAGAAGAAGAAGTCGAGAAACTTAGTTTAAAGAAATTTGGCATAGGTGCTGAACTTTTACATTCGTATTTACGGCCTGCTTTATCTTTCAGTAATTCCCTTTTACGCCTGCAATATATAATTTGAAATTTCGTTTTAGTCTCACCGGATTTATTATATACTATAACTTCAATGTAGTGTCATAGTAAAAACTAATTTATTACTATCTGCGGATTTGCAAGAGAATTATATACACCAAAAGAACGAACTTTGCTTGTACCAGTCTTTGGTTATTTTATGATATGCGGAGGAATGGCTTGTTGACGATCTGCTTCATATTCAGTTTTGGTAAACGTCGCTGATGTTTATACATACTGGCACTGGGCGCAAAAGTCATTGGACAATTGGGGCAAGTGTACAACGCCTCAACCGTACGTACTGAAATGTGTTCCTATAAAAGAAAACAACTCTTGTAGAAAAAGACAGAAAAAATTAACTTGATAGTAAAACTAACCCTTAAATCTTGGCCACGCTTAAAAACTTACGAACACATGCTACATTTGAATTTGCTGACACACTTATGATTCAAGTATATATGATGCTTTAGACCTCTCTCGGTAGGTGATACTTTACTGCATATATGACAACGATGTTCATCGCTTGTATTCTCATGGATGGTTTTCATGTGCGTTTTCAAACCAGCCAAATGATGATACCATGTACCACAAAGCTTGCATTGTTGCGGCTCCGGCGTTAATTTCCTTTCAGTATGCTCCATGTCATTATGTTTTTTTAAATTGTAACTATTTTTAAAAATTTGAACGCACTTATCACATATAAATAGTTTTTGTGGGCCATGATCATTTTTTAAATGTTGCTGCAATTTGCGATCCGTCGGTAATCTAAAAAAAAAAAAAATCCAATATAAGAATAAAATTTATGGAAGACGAAACAGTTCAGAACAGAAAATAAGGAATTCGAATATCGATGATAACGTTTAGATAGAAGTAAGAAAATTATGAATACTCGCCATTCTAACTTTTCCAGTTCCAAAGATTGTGAAGCCTTTTACTTTTTGTATTCTACACCACTACAGAGAATATTAAGTATGTGCCGACGGATGTTACACGCAGAATGAGTAGCGATAGACGTTTTATGATGCCGACCGATTCATAATGTCTGCCCGTCTGCCCGTCTGATGTAAATTTTTATTCAAGCTACAGATCGTAGTTTTTGAGGTATTTCGATGAAAGTAAGCAATATTCTTAAAGCATCTGGCAGTGGTTAATCGCGCTATTTTATCCAAATCCCCATGGCAGGGCGCCAGGTGAAGATGATACTTATTAAGCAGACCACGTCGCCGAGTGGTCGCGCAATTTTACGGTCCTTATTAGATGACGATAGCTTACATAGTATTTTCGATTTTTGCCGTTGCCCACGAAATCGGTATGTACATTATGAGATGTTCTGAAGTCTCTTTTGGCCGCTTCAAAAACTTATAGAGCGACGTGCTTGTGAGAATCGGCTACATCATTGTTGGTTATAATAAAGAGGGGCTCCATGGATACGTTGGTTAGAATTTCATCGCTGCATTTCAATTGCGAAGATTTGAATAGGATTCGATTAAGGAATAACGGTAAAGGAGCATCAGCTAGAAAATAACTGAAAGCATAAGTTAGACGACCTAGTACCTCTTAGATATTTCGATTTTCATATCTTTTCTACTTCGCATTTATTTAGAATTTCATTTATTATTTATCTTATTAGAAAAATATACGAAACTTATGCGATGGCTACATAACCTGTAAAATGCAAACTATTGGCCAGCTTTCGGCAAACTTGCGTCCATGAACAATGTGCAGTGTTTGATACTTCATTACGAAAATGAAGGAAGAGCTGTGTTATTCTTCGACTTACGATTTACTTCTTTTCCTAAGAAGAATTGCATTACATGTAATTGTGTAAAGCATTTATCGTTTGCTCTTATTTGCTTTTCTGAAATGCAAACTGAATGAGACAAGTACTAATTTCAAGTAAAGCAAAATTTTGAAAATATGCTCCTACACTGTATAAATAAACATTGCGTTCGTAGCAACGAGTATAAATCTTTATTTAACACTTTTTTATATGTAGTACTTCTATCAACATTTCAATTCGATTTCGATTCTTGTACGATTTTCTTGTACGCAGTTTGAAATTGAAAATGGCCTAAATTGGTCAGAGCAGAAGCCCGCAGTGGAACATAAACTAAATGCAACTCTGTTTTTCTTAACACAAATATGTAGGTTTTTGCTCGTTACTCAAACATTATGAAAGTTAGAAAGCTGAAATTTTCCACATTTACTTTAGGAGGCACTCTATCCTTCACCTACGAAAATGGTAACAGATAAAAGAGCTTGGAGAGTAGAGTGCGAAAAACATAGGCCTGGGTATGCGATATTCGGCCGGTGGCCTTTGGTCTGAAATATAAAAAAAAATTTAAAACGATGCCATCAAACCTGTGACATCTGAAGATTAGATGCTCAGCAGACTCGACAACATTGCAAACTTCACAAACATCACACGGTATAGCGCGAATCATTTTTAAATACACCTTATCACAAGTGTGACCACTCATGAGTCTATAAAGAATTTTGACTTCCCAAGAACTAAAAGAAGCCACGGAAAAGGGTTTGAATTGAAATGTGGGACTTATTTTATAGAAAAGGCGCTTGGATTTAACGCGCGCAATCTCTTTAAATTCGTCATTTAGCTGTTGAAGGAACTGATTGCGAATTGCGCGAATTGCTTCATTGGGAATGTATTTGATGGACAAAATTGTCTCATCAACAGGAGCTCTTCCTGCATGAAAGCCGGCTTTTACATTTAAAAAAAAACCGCAGTGACAGTCATCCACTTGAGACTCATGTAACATTCTATGTATATCAAACACATATTAATTCTCTGCATCTGTTTTATTTATTAGAAGTAGAGCTGACTTGCTATCAGAAAAAATAGCAAACCTTTTGATACCATCAGTGATTAATTACCCGAAACAAGTATGCAAGCCTCTCAAAATTACGAGAAACAGGTATAGTTTTTACATAATGAATTTAAATTTCAAGTTAATAATAACTAGAAATACATACTAAACCTTATAGGCTAAATGTTATCCGCTTCGTCTTTAGATGTTTTTAGATATTTTCTGATGT